CAACACTGTGGTCTCCTGGCAACACTGTGGTCTCCTGGCAACACTGTGGTCTCCTGGCAACACTGTGGTCTTATGGCAACAGTGGTCAACTCCGCACATGAAATTCGAGTCTCGTTGAAATGTCGATAGTGGTAAATGTGGTACCAACCAATATATCTATAAGCTATAGAGTATCTATATGTCTATAAAACAATGTCTAACAACAATGAGTGTCAGGGGGGATGGTGTGGGGTGTGGGCCGAACATAGGTGTCGCCAAAATTCCAGAGGGCGCCACATGCCAGGATCACATTCTGACTCCCACGATGACTTGTGGCAGTTCCCGCCACCTACAACGTATCTAAATATTGATAAAAACACTAAAGTTTCAAAATCAAATTTCTGCTCATTCGCCGATCTTGGGCAATGTCAAATTTCTGCTATTAATTCTTTGGTCATAATAGCATAAAACTGACGATATTCCCACAGCGTTCTCCACCCCCACCCACAACCAGCTAACAAGAAAATTACCTTTAGGTTACACAGTGAAGCAGCAATAGGCAATCTCACAAATGCCCTCCACAATATAAACTGGGAATCTGAATTTAATAATACACAGGATATAAATTCGTTAACTAGCCTCTTCCTTTCCAAAATTCTAAGCCAAAATTCTAAGACAATACTTATTGTCCTCTCCTCACCAAGCAAGTAACTGGCAAAAGGTTAAATAATCCCTGGCTCACTAATGGCATACTCAAAGCAATCGACAAGAAACATAAGCACATGGAGAGCCGTCTCTAACATCCTAGGAGCTAAACAACATTCACATAACCAGATAAAAATCTCCAAGGATGGTTATACACCTGCAACAGATCTTGAAACAGCAACTGAATTTAATAGCTTCTTTTCATCGATTGGTGCTAACCTTGCCCGAAAAATCCCACAGACTCAGACACATGTTACCACATATCTTTCAGGCAGCTACCCAAACTCTCTTCTCCTCTCACCGATCAGCCTTACAGATGTTGTGTCCATCATTCACTCGCTAAAAACCAAAGCTGGGAACATTAGTGAAATACCATCCATGGTATACAAGAGTGCCTCCCATGCCCTTGCACCACCCATAGCTTTGCTGTTCAATAAATCTCTAGAGTGTCATACCTTCCCTGATATCCTTAAAAAAGCAAGAGTAACGCCAGTTCATAAAGGAGGTAACACGGCAGACATAAATAATTACAGACCCATATCAAATCTACCTATATTATCAAAAATATTTGAAAAAATTATTTACAAACAGCTCTACTCCTATCTTGTAAAATTCAATATACTAAGTCCCTGTCAGTTTGGCTTCCGCTCCCAAAAGAGTACCAATGATGCAATTGTTAGTCTGCTTGACTTAATCTACTCAGCCCTTGACAAAAGTGAGTTTCCGATTGGACTCTTCATTGACCTGAGAAAGGCCTTTGATACTGTTAACCATAACTACCTCTTACTTAAACTCCACCATTATGGAATCCGTGGCCTTGCCCTGAACTATATCCGATCCTATCTTAGTGACAGACACCAATATGTAGCCATCAATGATATAACCTCTCCCACTCTACCACTAACCGTAGGGGTGCCACAGGGCAGCATCCTAGGACCCCTCCTGTTTCTTATATACATCAATGATCTGCCTAATGTCTCTAACATGCTTAAACCTATATTGTTTGCTGATGATACTACTCTCATCTACTCTGACCCCAACCCACTCATATTAAATAATGTTGTAAACAATGAATTAAAAAAAGTCCACTTGTGGATGTCAACCAACAAACTCACACTAAACATAGAAAAGACCTACTACATCTTATTTGGAAGCAAATCAACAAATGCAATTCAGCTTCAGATAGATAATGTAAACATTAGCAATAAAAATGATGGAAAGTTCCTTGGCCTATACTTAGACAAGAGACTCAACTTCAGCACCCACATACAACACATAACTAAAAAGGTTTCTAAAACAGTTGGTATACTCTCTAAGATCAGATATTATGTACCCTACTCTGCTCTCCTCTCACTCTATTATGCACTTATCTATCCCTATCTTACTTATGGTATCTGTGCTTGGGGTTCAACCTCTGCAAACTACCTCAAGCCCATCATCACCCAGCAAAAATCTGCTATCAGGACAATAACAAACTCTGCTTTCAGACAACACACAGCTCCCCTGTTTAAATCCCTAAACATGCTAAACATAAATTCACTCCATACATTCTCTTGTGTCAATTACATTTATAAAACCCTTTTCTTAAGTGCAAACCCTGTTCTGAAACTCTTCCTGGACAGATGTAATAGAACACATAATCACCACACCAGACATAAATATCTCTTTGATATCCCCAGAGTCAAACTTAATCTGTGTAAACACTCTATGCAAATAAAGGGACCTAGTCTATGGAACTCACTCCCTAATGAATTGAAAAGCTGTCCAACTTTTGCCTTATTCAAAAATAAAACCAAAAAGTACCTAATTTCATCTTCATAGTTTTCTACCTAGTGCTTTATCTTCTCACTGTATCTAGTGCTACCCAATCCCCCAATATTTGTACCTAAGCCATATTACTTTACCATTGTAATCTTAGATATCATCTGATATCATGGTTGTTGTATTGAGTGCATATTCTACTGCATTATTCCTTGAAATGATCCTCATATTGTGCTTCAGTGAACCAATGTATAACCCTGAAATGTTATCCTAATGTACCTAGTAATCCTTGTTTCATTATTGTGTATTGTTATTATTGTGTATTATTCTAATCTGCTTTTGTGTCAAAATTTCTTCAAATGTACCTGTAAACATTTTTTGTCAATTTTACTGTAATTATTCTACTTAAAATTATCTGTACCTGTAAAGAAAAGCTGTAAAGTACCTGTAAACATTTTTTATCAATTTTACTGTTAATTTATCTAAAAAAAATCTGTTAGTTTAAGGACTTGCCCGAAACGCTATGCGTGCTAGTGGCTTTACAAGAATGTTAAAATCAACTTATTTTCTATGTTCTCTGTTAACCCCCAATGTACCTTCTTGTATATAAATAAATAAATAAATAAATAAATAAATAACAGAAGAACACAGAGAGGGAGAGAGACAGAAGAGAGAAAGACAGAGGGGTAGACACAGAAGAACAGAGATAGGGAGAGAAAGAAGAGAGAAAGGGATGGGGGGGGTGGGGAAATGAAGAGGTGGGGATGGGACAGGTGATGACTGGAGAGATGGGGGAGGGGGGGGGGGGGCGAGGGGGGGTGCGAGGGGGGGATGCGAGGGGGGGGTGATAGTGGAGAGAGGAGAAGATGGAGAACGTGGGGAGAGGGAACGGAAGGTGAGGGAAGGAGAGAAGTGAGAGAAGGGATAGATAGAGAAGGAGAGATGAGAGGGGGAGACAGAGAGAGGGGGGGGAAGGTGGAGAGACCCGGGAACAGCCGGGTACCCCATAGTATACAATAAAGGGGAAGGTAGGAGTCACTTATCTAAGATATTATAGACATTAAATAAGACTCGAAGAACACAAGATTATACTGAAATTATATGACAAATTATAGATAAGACGGGATAGAGACGGACGGACAGGCTGCATATTGCTGGACTGTCAAAAGGCTCTTGACCGTCCCTCGTAACAATTTAGTACACAACTTGAGAAGCAGGCGAGGAAGAGCTCTGAACATAGTACCTAAGAGACTGGAGTCAGAGAGTAACAGTCAGGGGCGTGAAGTCGGACCTTGTGGACACTAACAAGCGGAGCCACACAAGCCCTGCATGTCTCATCCAAGCTGCAGAACCGGTCCAAGAAATGGCTACTTGATTTCAAGCCCAACAAGTGTAAGATGATGGAAATGGAATGAGGTGACACGAGACCAGGAGGACTGGTAACAACGAAGCCGTTACCTTCCTGCGGCGACAGGAGAAAGAGCCGCGGGAGTAAATTAGGAAGCAAGCAGATCACGGTACATCACCTACGTGAGACCAGTACTGGAGCATGCAGCGCCCACTGTGGAACACTAATGTTCACAATAATTCCACTAGAACTAGGGAAGGGGGGGTATGGCTGAAGGGAAGGGAACTATCAGGGGGAAAGCGCCAAGCCATTACCACTATATAGCACTTGGAAGGAATCAGGATATGGATTAGGGATGGGACAGGGGGGGGGAAGGAATGGTGCCCAACGACTTGGACGGTCGGGGATTGAACGCCGACCTGCATGACGCGTGACCGTCGGTTGGAAATGAGTCATAGAGATGTTAACAAGTTTTTTTCTTTCTAAGAATAAGTGTAGTGGGGAAATGGAATGACCTAAAGAAGTAGGTTGTAGAAGCAAACTCCATTCACGATTCATTGTGGAATATGATTAGTCAAACAGGTCGTGAATAACTGGTGGTTGGCAAGTCTGGGTTATGGGAAGGGAGGGGATTATCAGTGGGAAGCGCCAAGCCATTACATCTTTAGGATCCTGTAGGTCGATCCTACAGGAAGAAATATTTGAGTACAAATGTGTAAGTACACACACACGCATGTGGACACGCACGCACTCACAGTAAATGCCTTCCTTCAACATTTACTCCTGTTCCCTCCCTCTCTCTCTCTCTCTCTCTCTCTCTCTCTCTCTCTCTCTCTCATTCTTCCTCCCCTCTCAATTTTCCTCTTGATTCCCTTATAGTGCACTTAATTAAGATTGAGTCTGAAACGCTGAGCACGTTAAATAATTCACCTCACACACACACACACCATATCATAAGGTAAACATTTGCCCGCCCTCCGAATGCTCGCCCGCCACTGTGGCTGTGGCTTTGTCCGACCCTGTCTCCCGCCCTGCTGCTGGGCCCGCCTCGGGACGCTCTGTATGGCCTCGGCTCCTGGCTCCCGCCTCCGGACGCCGGCCCCCTTGGTAGGTGTGTTGTTGTTAGTGGTGGTTGTTGTTGTTGTCAGGGATGGTGGTTGTTGCCAGTGGTGGTGGTTGTTGTTGTCAGTGACGGTAACTGTTGTTGTCAGTGGCGGGTGCCAACAGTCCCTGGCAGTGTGGTGGCAGCAGGACTCCAGGCAGGTCGCTGGCCTCCACTAATATCTACGGAAGTTCTACCTCTAAGTCGGTCGACAACTTTATTTTGGATTATTAAGTTCACAAAGTCAATAAGAGCATAATACATAAGCTGGACACATATTTTTACCGACACATAAGCTGGAAACCTTTATATACAGGTCATGGTAATGCGCGGGACGGTTTCTGGTGATGCCTTCATTCATTCGGCCCGGCTTGCAGGTCGGCGTTCAATCCCCGGTGGTCGAAGTGCTTGAGCAACATTCCTTCATTTCGTTCTCACATTACAGCTCTTGTCCTCGCCTCGTATCCCTTCCATGTGTTGCATGTTAATAATACTTGATTAGTGCATTTTCCTAACTTTCTTGCCTCCCTTGGAACGACCTGTCGTTACCTGGTGTGTGACGGACGTTATCTGGTGTGTGACGCTCGTTACCCGGTGTGTGACGCTCGTTACCTGGTGTGTGACGGACGTTACCTGGTGTGTGACGCTCGTTACCCGGTGTGTGACGCTCGTTACCTGGTGTGTGACACTCGTTACCTGGTGTGTGACGCTCGTTACCTGGTGTGTGACGCTCGTTACCTGGTGTGTGACGCTCGTTACCTGGTGTGTGACGCTCGTTACCTGGTGTGTGACGGACGTTACCTGGTGTGTGACGCTCGTTACCTGGTGTGTGACGCTCGTTACCTGGTGTGTGACGCTCGTTACCTGGTGTGTGACGCTCGTTACCTGGTGTGTGACGCTCGTTACCTGGTGTGTGACGCACGTTACCTGGTGTGTGACGCACGTTACCTGATGTGTGACACACGTTACCTGGTGTGTGACGCTCGTTACCTGGTGTGTGACGCTCGTTACCTGGTGTGTGACGGACGTTACCTGGTGTGTGACGCTCGTTACCTGGTGTGTGACGCTCGTTACCTGGTGTGTGACGCTCGTTACCTGGTGTGTGACGCTCGTTACCTGGTGTGTGACGCTCGTTACCTGGTGTGTGACGCTCGTTACCTGGTGTGTGACGCTCGTTACCTGGTGTGTGACGCTCGTTACCTGGTGTGTGACACTCGTTACCTGGTGTGTAACGCTCATTACCTGGTGTGTGACACTCGTTACCTGGTGTGTGACGCTCGTTACCTGGTGTGTGACGCTCGTTACCTGGTGTGTGACACTCGTTACCTGGTGTGTAACGCTCGTTACCTGGTGTGTGACACTCGTTACCTGGTGTGTGACGCTCGTTACCTGGTGTGTGACGCTCGTTACCTGGTGTGTGACACTCGTTACCTGGTGTGTAACGCTCGTTACATGGTGTGTGACACTCGTTACCTGGTGTGTAACGCTCATTACCTGGTGTGTGACACTCGTTACCTGGTGTGTGACGCTCGTTACCTGGTGTGTGACGCTCGTTACCTGGTGTGTGACACTCGTTACCTGGTGTGTAACGCTCGTTACCTGGTGTGTGACACTCGTTACCTGGTGTGTGACGCTCGTTACCTGGTGTGTGACGCTCGTTACCTGGTGTGTGACACTCGTTACCTGGTGTGTAACGCTCGTTACCTGGTGTGTGACACTCGTTACCTGGTGTGTAACGCTCATTACCTGGTGTGTGACACTCGTTACCTGGTGTGTGACACTCGTTACCTGGTGTGTGACACTCGTTACCTGGTGTGTGACACTCGTTACCTGGTGTGTAACGCTCGTTACCTGGTGTGTGACACTCGTTACCTGGTGTGTAACGCTCATTACCTGGTGTGTGACACTCGTTACCTGGTGTGTGACACTCGTTACCTGGTGTGTAACGCTCATTACCTGGTGTGTGACACTCGTTACCTACTGTACACTGATATATGTGTACAGTATATTAGCCAGAGAGACAGTGAGACAGCACAGTCACCCAGGTAGCCACAGAGACCGTGAGACAGAGGACAGTTACCCAGGTAGCCAGAGAGAGACAGTGAGACAGAGCAAAGTCACGCAGAGAGACGGAGAGACAGTGAGACAGAGAGACAGATGGCGAGCGCTCTGTGAAGTTCACTTGTCGTTAGCAATAAACAGTTGGGTGTTGAAAGGGACTCTACGGGACGCCATGTTGCTCCCCCCCCCCCGTGTGTGTGTTTACGCCTAACATGTGTCCTCCCTCCCTTCCCCCCCCCACTTCCCCCCCCCCTACACCCCTCCCCCTTCATCCCATCTCCTCACCCCCCCCCCACCTTCGCTGCTCTAACACAGATCTACCTCTACCATCTACTCTACTCCACACGCTTCTACTTGTACGTTATTTATCATGGACTCAGTGATCCCAGGTTCGATCCCCGGTTCGGACCAAAAGCAACAGCTAGGCTTCTTGAGGTTATCTTGAGATGATTTCGGGGCTTTAGTGTCCCCGCGGCCCGGTCCTCGACCAGGCCTCCACCCCCAGGAAGCAGCCCGTGACAGCTGACTAACTCCCAGGTACCTATTTACTGCTAGGTAACAGGGGCGTTCAGGGTGAAAGAAACTTTTGCCCATTTGTTTCTGCCTCGTGCGGGAATCGAACCCGCGCCACAGAATTACGAGTCCTGCGCGCTATCCACCAGGCTACGAGGTCCCCTTCCACACACACACACACACACATGTGTGATCTAAACACCTTCAGCGCCCAAACATGTGCGGCGATTGAATGATTTGGTGCAGGTATTGGTGGTGAGAGGCACTCGTGAGGCCGGACATATGTTTAATTACCTCAACAATGGTCCCATTAGTGCCACGTGGTGCCACTGGTGTTGTGGTGGTGCCACTGGTGTTGTGGTGGTGCCACTGGTGTTGTGGTGGTGCCACTGGTGTTGTGGTGCCACTGATTACAGTGCCAATGGTTTTCCGAATGAAGCCCTCAAAGCCCAGGGAGTTAAATTGAGCTGGAGAATGTCATTTGTTTTACATCTTGACTACACCCTCCCCCCCCCCCCCCGGGGTGATTGATGTGATCATCATCATCACCATCTTCATCATCATCACCATCTTTCATCATCTTCTTCGTTACAGAGAAGATGGAGTGCTAGAGTTGTGTTGAGCAGGTGGAGGAGGGCGGGGGAAGATGGCCAAGTTAACTGGGAACTGGACAAAAGGCAGGAACCGAGTCCTTCCATTAATCTAAGAACGTTCTGAAGTCGGATCTTAGCTCTAAGCTCCGACTAAGCAGGAGGCTTCGCCCAACCACATCTACTTGAGTACACACACACACACACACACACACACACACACACACACACACACACACACACACACACACACATACACACACACACATACACACACACACATACACACACACACACACACACACACATACACACACACACACACACACACACACACACACACACACACACACACACACACACACACACACACACACACACACACACACACACACACACACACTTAATGAAGTACTTAATGAAACGAACAGAGAGAAAGATCTAGGAGTTGATATCACACCAAACCTGTCTTCTGAAGCCCACATAAAAAGAATAACATCTGCGGCGTATGCGAGGCTGGCTAACATCAGAACAGCATTCAGGAACCTGTGTAAGGAATCATTCAGAACCTTGTATACCACATATGTAAGACCAATCCTGGAGTATGCAGCCCCAGCATGGAGTCCGTACCTTGTCAAGCACAAGACGAAGCTGGAAAAAGTCCAAAGGTATGCAACTAGACTAGTTCCAGAACTAAGAGGCATGAGTTACGAGGAAAGGCTGGGGGAAATGAACCTTACGGCACTGGAAGACAGAAGAGTAAGAGGAGACATGATCACTACCTACAAAATTCTCAGGGGAATCGACAGGGTAAACAAGGATAAACTATTCAACACTGGTGGTACGCGAACAAGGGGACACAGGTGGAAACTGAGTACCCACATGAGCCACAGGGACGTTAGAAGGAACTTTTTCAGTGTCAGAGTAGTTAACGGATGGAATGCATTAGGCAGTGATGTGGTGGAGGCTGACTCCATACACAGTTTCAAATGTAGATATGATAGAGCCCAGTAGGCTCAGGAATCTGTACACCAGTTGATTGACAGTTGAGAGGCGGGACCAAGGAGCCAAAGCTCAACCCCCGCAAGCACAAATAGGTGAGCACACACACACACACACACACACAAACACACACACACACACATACACACACACACACACACACACACACACACACACACACACACACACACACACACACACACACAGGAATTGACAGGGTTGATAAAGACAGGCTGTTTAACACAAGGGGCACACGCACTAGGGGACACAGGTGGAAACTGAGTGCCCAAATGAGCCACAGAGATATTAGAAAGAACTTTTTTAGTGTCAGAGTGGTTGACAAATGGAATGCATTAGGAAGTGATGTGGTGGAGGCTGACTCCATACACAGTTTCAAGTGTAGATATGATAGAGCCCAATAGGCTCAGGAACCTGTACACCTGTTGATTGACAGTTGAGAGGCGGGACCAAAGAGCCAGAGCTCAACCCTCGCAAGCACAACTAGGTGAGTACAACTAGGTGAGTACACACACACACACACACACACACACACACACACACACACACACACACACACACACACACGCACAAGAGTTCAGGGATGGTAGATCGTGCCTCACAGGTTTAATAGAATTCTATGACCAGGCGATAAAAACTAGGCAAGAAAGGGGTGGCCAGACTGCATTTTCTTGGACTGTCAGAAAGCCTTTGACACAGTACCCCATAAGAGACTTACAAAAGTTGGAGAAACAGGCAGGAGTAAAAGGTAAGGTGCTCCAGTGGATAAGGGAGTATCTAAGCAACAGAAAACAGCGAGTAACGGTGAGGGGGGTGACATCAGAGTGGCGAGATGTCACCAGCGGAGTCCCACAGGGCTCTGTACTTTCCCCCATGCTGTTTCTAATATATGTAAATGATTTTAATATATGTAAATGAATGAGACTCATTCCTCTCAATGTTTGCTGATGATGCAAAAATTATGAGAAGAATCAAGACAGATGAAGATAGACAGAGACTACAGGACGACCTGGACAAACTGGAGGAATGGTCTAGAAAATGGCTGCTAAAGTTCAAGTCAGAAAATTGTAAAGAAATGAAATTATGCGAAGGGAGCAGAAGGCTGAACGCAAGGTACCATCTGGCAGGTGAAATCCTGCAAGAGTCAAACAGAGAGAGAACTGGGGGTTGATATCACACCGACCCTGTCCCCAGAGGCCCACATTAGAATGATATCATCAGCGGCATATGCTAAAGTGGCCAACATAAGAACTGCCTTTAGAAACTTGTGTAAGGAATCGTTCAGGACCTTATATACCACTTAAGTCAGACCAATCCTGTAGTATACAGCTCCAGCCTGGAGTCCATACCTAGTTAAGCACAAGACAAAGTTAGAGAAGATTCAGCGGTATGCCACCAGACTGGTCCCGGAACTGAGAGGTATGAGCTACGAGGAAAGGTTGCGAGAGCTAGAAGCTGACATCTCGCTGACAGTACTACAAGCTGACATACTGACACACAATGCTGACAGTATACATAGATCCTGATATGTAGTAAGGATGACATATAAACCATTTACACCTAATGAATAGACAAGCAGATAGATCGATAGACAGGCAGACATTGGCATAGATGAAGGAGCAAGCTAATTAGATGAGCACATTTACTGAATGTGCTGATTGGCTGTAGGGATTACGAATGAGTAGTGGGCGGGACGGGGTGGAGGGTGGGGTGGGGTGGGCGGGGTGGGGTGGGGTGGAGGGTGGGGTGGGCGGGGTGGGGTGGGGTGGGTGGGGTGGGGGCTATGTAAGTATGGGGACACTGGCAATAGTGGTCATAAAAGGTGGGTGTGAATTACTATCAGTAATGAAGCCTGGCGCTCTGTATACCTGGCCTGACACCTTGATTAATTACCTCCACCGGGATGGGTGCTTGGTGAGGTGGGCGGGGTACTGGTCACCGCCCACTCCTCCACCACCACCACTCAACCCCGCCCACTCCACCACCACCACCACTCCACCACCACCACCACCACCACTCCGCCTACTCCACCACCACCCACCCCGCCCACTCCACCACCGCCCACCCCGCCCACTCCACCACCACCCACCCTGCCCACTCCACCACCACCCACCCTGCCCACTACACTACCACCACCTCCCACCCCGCCCACTCCACCACCACCACCCACCCCGCCCACTCCACCACCACAACCCACCCCGCCCACTCCACCACCACCACCCTCCGCGCCCACTCCACCACCACCCACCCCGCCCACTCCACCAAACGCCCACTCCTCCACCGCCCACCCCGGCCCCCGCCCACCACGCCCACTCCTCCACCGCCCACCCCGCCCACTCCGCCACCGCCCACAGCCTCATAATCAAGCTCTACGCTCAAAGAGTTTGCTCTTAAAATATTATACAAAACTGTCAAACATTTTCAAAAATACTTGTTGGATATTTTATATCATCCGTGTTTGTTGGTCCCCCCCTTCAAGACCCCTTCAAGTCCCCTTCAAGACCCCTTCAAGACCCATTCAAGACCCATTCAAGACCCCTTCAAGACCCATTCAAGACCTCATCAAGACCCCTTCAAGACCCATTCAAGACCCCTTCAAGACCCCTTCAAGACCCCTTCAAGACCCCTTCAAGACCCATTCAAGACCCCTTCTATGCCCCTTCAAGACCCCTTCTATGCCCCTTATAGGCCCCTTCTATGCCCCCT